CTTCCCGGAGTGGCCATCGATTTTGCGCAGCTGGAACTGGTCCTGGAGGTCGATGTTCTGCGGCGATCGGTGCTCAATCTGGGTGCACTGCTCACAACGAGTGCCACCGTACACGATACGCTGGTCACGGGCGAAGGTTGCCCCAGGCGCTGGTGGGCCAGACCGCTCTTCACGGTCACTACCAAAGACAAAGATGGGCGGCTGGTGCGCACCGGCAGCGCCGAGCTGCGGGCGGAGCTCACTGCCCCCGACGGCACGCGCTGCCGGTGCCAGTGGTGGACCACAAGAACGGCACGTATGAGCTGGTCTACACGGCGCGCTCCGAGGGCGAGCTGCTCCTCTCCGTGCTGCTCTATGGCCAGCCGGTGCGCGGTAGCCCCTTCCGCGTGCGAGCCCTGCGACCTGGAGACCTACCACCTTCCTCGGACGACGTCAAGCGCCGCGTTAAGTCCCCTGGTGGCCCGGGCAGCCATGTGCGCCAGAAGGCGGTGCGGAGGCCCAACTCCATGTACAGCACCAGCGGCAAACGGAAGGACAACCCCATTGAGGATGAGCTCGTGTTCCGTGTCGGTACAGACGGCCGGGGGCGGAGCCAGGCAGGGGCGGGCTCAGGCAGGAGGCGGGGCGGAGAGGGCAGGGAGTTTCAAAATGACCTGCGAGTGAATTCTTTTGTTTTTCCCCCATCCCCTTCCCACAGGCAGTCGTGGAAGGGAGAAAGGCGAATTTACCAACCTACAGGGTGTGTCCGCAGCTAGCAGTGGCCGCATAGTGGTAGCAGACAGCAACAACCAATGTATCCAGGTGAGCGCTTGTCCAGCTCCCACACCACCAAAATACAGGTCCTCCAGCTACAGCCCCCTGAAAACAAACAAACAAACAAACAATAAACTGTATATAATATAGGTCTCCTCCTGAAAGATGTACAGTAATCGAAGCCTTACTTTAAAAAAAAAGCTTTTTATTTTTTCCAGCCCTACACATAGTACCATTTCTTAAAGAGCAATAAGTCATAGCACCGCCCTTTACCCACCCACTTGTAACCTCACCCCTACTAGCCACAAGGGTAACCATGTTCACAGGTAGGCCCCAGGGTTCACTGTGCTGGCAGTTCATAACTCCCAGGCCATAGCACAGCGCAGACCAGCTCCTGGACCTCAAAGGAGGTCCCCTCATTCTCCCTTCCCCTCTGTCTCCTCTTGAGCCTCCACCTGGCTGGCTAACTTTCTCCCTTTTCACCACCATGGATGCTGGCTCTGCCCTTCCCTGCTATGTCCCAACATACCTTCCTGGCTCCAGAATGGCTCCAGCTGCACCGGTCTCTGCAAACATCCGGTGGACTAGACAGTCAAACGGGGTTAACTTGTGAAAAGAGGTGTCTTCAGTGGCTAGACTACAGTGCACGCTCACAGATGGTCCTGCCCCTGGCCCTCCCAGCCCCTCACACACCTGATTAAGGCACCCGCCGCACAAATAGACATGGCCTCTGCTGCACTTCAAGCTCTTTAAAGCCAGAAAATGTGGTTTCCTCTTTTTATTCCTTGTAGTAAACCCAGCGCCCAGTGTGGTAGACACAGCGGAGCAGTTAAAAGCCCGGGCTCTGAAACCAGACACCTGGGCTTGAATCCTAGCTCTGCCACTTACTGACAAGTCATGTGACCTCTCTCAGCTTCAGTTAACTCATGTGTAAAATTAGGAAAAGAATACCTCAGAGGGTCGCCGGAAGCATTAAATGGCATAATGTACTGTGCCTGACACCTAGTGAACCTTCTAATGTTAGTTACAAATATCACTGTCCAGGTGGCGGCTGTCAACAAAAGCCAGGAGGTGGGGAGTGCTGGAGGGGGTTGTACAGGGAACTGGAAGGATTCCCAAAGGAGCTGGAGGTAGATTACGATTAGGAGCCAAGTAGCTGAGGTCACATTGAGTTTATGCTGTGTGGGATTGTTTGTGACTACCCTGAGCTTCAGTTCATGGAAACACTTTATCAGGGAGCAAAACTGTTCCCTGAAGATCCTTACTTCGCAACACGTATAAATTTACGCTTCTTCCTGACCCAGCCTGAGTACCCCGTCATAGATCCAGCTCTGCCAAAAGCCTGTCGCTTCAATGTCAGATCCCACCTGGCTCCTGCGTGCCACCTACCAGGCTGCAAATGCCACGAGCTCTTCCATGACCATATTCCCAGTCCTGTATTTCCAGCCAGCCCTTATTCCCACCCTATTCCTAGGAGCGGAGGAGTGGAGAGGCCCCGTTCAGCACAGGGAGGTATTTGGACGCAGCCTGGATAGCGAAGAGGAGATGGGAATGGGGGTGGTGCTGAGGCCCTACTCAGTCACTTCCTCTACCCTCTAACTCTTTTCCTGCTCCTTATGCCAGGGATGCTTTCTGGCACAAATGCTGAGATTTGGGAAACCTTCCCTACTGTGCTTGCACACGAGCTCTCACATGCCGAGTGACGTGTGCCACTTTGTCTCTTTGATGAGGAGCTGTGCTTGTCCACTGTTTCAGGGTGGGGGGAACTGAGAGGTAGGGCCTGATGTAGCCCCCCTCCCTTCCAAACACTAATAGTCCTATAGCAGTCTCCCTTGCTCCCACTCCCACCTGCACTCCATCTACCCAGTTGCTAGGAACCTGACTTGGATTCCAAAGCGGAGTTTCTGCTTCTCTTACTCTGGGGGCCTCAGGCCTGGTAGGGGCTGGTCTCCCAGATGGACTGTGACCTGCACCCCTCAGTTCATGAGAATTGGGCTCTGCGTGAACTTTTCCTCCTTTGGACCCATTTATGGTGGAGGCTGAGTGAAGAATTCAATTTGCATATTTGGTTTGACAATTTGAGTAACTGTCTTAGTCCAGAAATTTTATCAGCTCATTTCCTTCAGGCAGAATATTAATCATATTCTCCTCTGAGCTCCTCAGCCTTTTGCTATAAACACTTTCAGACTTTACCAGAATCACCGGCTTGTTTAATTTTGTTTCAGTCTCTCTTCCCTACTAGGCTCAGGTCCCGAAGTTACTTAGTGCTACTGTGATACAGCAGAGAGATGTTAAAGACCAAACTAGGGCACCAGCAGATTTCAGAGATGTTAAGGAAGCAAATACGGCAGGTTTTGATGAGCCATCAGATGTCAAGGAAGAGGGAGGACTCAGGAATGGCAGGACTTGGTGCACTGGGTCGGTGGTGTTGCAATTCAGGAGCAGGTCTAGATATAAGTTGATGAATTCCCTTTTGCACGTGTTGAGTTTGAGTGTGTCATTCAAGTGGAGATGTTTAGCTGTGATCTGAGATTGAGCTGAGGAATTCACTCATTTGTTGAATGTCTGTTAGGTGCCAGTTGCTTTACCTACAAATGCAGCAGCAAAGAACAGACACGGTTCCTGTCCCACCTGCAACTTTCTTAGAAGGGGACAAAGATATTTAGTTACGGAAGTGATGGTTGTTATGACAAGAACTATAAAGCATACATCACAGAGACCTAACTGTATGTGTATACACTGATTCAGGGGATGGAGTTGGTCATTAAAGGCTTCTCTCAAGAAGTGACTTGGAAATTCTGAGAATTGAAAGATGAATAGGAGTTGGCCAGATAGATATAAGGGGTGGGATAGGGTAGGACAGGATGAGTAAGACACCCCCCACACCCCACAAACCTCTTGAGTTTTGAGCTGGAAACCAAGCTACTCAGACTGGAGAAGGTACATGCATAATCTCACTGCTGATCTGGGGGAACCTTTTAGTCTCTCTCACATCAACTCTCCAATCTGTGATCCTTCCCTTCGCATGCTAGCAAGTGCTGTCCCACCGCAGGGTACTAGAGCAGAAGGGGTGAGGGCATAGTAGAAGGTCTACATCAGCAGGGAGTGATGTCTCAAGGTCGGACCAGTTCAAACAGGCTTTTCTGTCCTGCTAAATCGACATGGGTATTGCGGTGGGGGTGGGGGTGGGGTAGGGACAGGGGCCCAGTCCACTAAGGAGGGAGCAGGTCTGGATAAACTAAGGCCAAGGCCCAGAACTTGAGTTAGCCAAGGCTGCTGCTCCTGGCTCTGATTCCTCTTATGTCCCTAGAGCCTGTAACAAAGCAGTGTGTGGGACTTCTGCAGTAAGTGGTGAGTAATGTCTTGGCTGCAAAGGAGAAGCAGGAAGGCTTAGCTGTAAAGGAAAGGAGCACTAAACGAGGTGCTTTTAGGATGGAGAACCCTGAGTATGTTGATGGCTAAGGTCAAGGAGATAGAAGAGTGAGAAAGGTTGAAAGGTTCACTCTGTCCAGGAGGAAGGTTGCCTGGTCAGCCCCATATCCTGGAAGGGCTAATCCAAGTCCATTTCCCTCACCTCCCTCCCTTTCTTGTCTACTGCCAAGTTTGTTCAATCTACCTACTATATGTCTCTTGAGTCCATCTGCTGCCCTCTAGCAGTGCCCTGGTCCAAGTCGTCATCATTTCACACCTGGACCACTGCAGCAGCCTCTGACTGTGTGGCCAACATCCAGTCTTGACTCCTCCCTGCAACCAGAGTGCTCTTTCTTACAAACCCTAAGGTGTTTTTTGCAGACACTACCAAACAGTTCTCTAATTCCAGTGGACATTGACCATGTTTTCTTTGAATTTAACTCAATTCTGACACTATGAAGCCTGTACTGTCTCCATCTTACAAAGGAAGAATCCCTCAGCCTCCCAGACTGCACCCACCCAGACACCAGTTGCAAGTCAGGTTGTTACCTGCTATAAATTGGAAGTTTCCACAACCCCCCTTTGGGTTCGATTAATTAGATAGAGAGGCTCACAGAACTCAGAGAAACATTTGCTTAGGTTTACCAGTTTACTGTAAAGGGTCTGATCAAGGACACAGATGAGCAGCTAGATGAAGAGGTACAGAGGGCAAGAAGAGTCCCTAGTGCAGGAACTTCTGTCGCTGTGGAATGGGGGTGCCCCATCCTCTCAGTACCAACCCAGAAGCTCATCAAATCTTGTTGTTCAGGAGTTTTCATATAACTTAATTTGTGTGCACACACACGCACAACCCTTCCCAGAGGGTGGATAGGGCTGTAAATTCCAATCCTTTACTCATTTGGTCTTTCTAATGACCAGCTTCATCCTGAGGCTATCTGGGGTCCCCACCCTAAGTCACCGCAGTTGCCTAAGCTCAAAAGGGGCCCCTTATGAATGACAAAAGACAATCCTATCACTCAGGAAATTCTCAGGCTTCGAGGAGCTCTGTGACAGGCACTGGGGACAAAGACCACATAGATGTCTTATTATACCACAAAAGCAAATCTCATCTTGTCACTCCCTGCCCACATATTTTCAGTGAATCCCCATTACATCCAGGATAAAACCTGACCCGTGTTGTACACGGATGAGCAGGGCCCATGCTGGACTCTGTGCTGTTTATACACTGTCCACTGCTTAAATGCCTTGCCTCCTGCTTTACTGGCCAACTTCGGTTCATCTGTCAGCATCCTTTTAGACTTAGCTCAGATTTCCTCTTCTGGAACCCTTCCTGATCACTCCCCCTCAACCCTTTCATATTCCTACAGTCCTATTCCCACCTCTGCTGCATGTCCGCTAGGTCTGCGGCCATGTCTGATGCTTCTCTGTGCCCTACATGGTGTCATTAGTCCTTGCTGAATGACTGAATGAATGGGGATCTCCTCCCTCAGGATCCTGCTCCCTTCCCTTTGTGCCCACAGTCTCTCCCCTCCTTCCCCTCCCTCCCTTGATCCTGTGCTCCAGGTTTTCTCCAATGAAGGCCAGTTCAAGTTCCGCTTCGGGGTCCGAGGGCGCTCGCCTGGACAGCTGCAACGACCCACAGGTGTGGCAGTGGACACCAATGGAGACATTATCGTTGCAGACTATGACAACCGTTGGGTCAGCATCTTCTCCCCTGAGGGCAAGTTCAAGGTGAGAAACTTACTGTCACTACACTTTGCACCCCCGGTGATCAGCTGAAGTGACCATTCTAGTGTCCCCTGGTGGTTGGGCCTGGATTGGTCCATCCCCAGCCCAAGATTCTGCTTTGGTGCCAGGCTGGGACGGTGCTCCCCACCAGGCAGGATAAAGACCCTAATGCTCATCTCCTTCCAGACCAAGATTGGAGCTGGCCGCCTCATGGGCCCCAAGGGGGTGGCTGTAGACCGTAACGGACATATCATTGTGGTCGACAACAAGTCTTGCTGTGTCTTCACCTTCCAACCCAATGGAAAGCTGGTTGGCCGTTTTGGGGGCCGTGGAGCCACTGACCGTCACTTCGCAGGTATGAGAAGATAAGTCAGACATCTATTCCGATTCCCCAGTCCCAGGGAACCCCGGGGGATCCCAACTCTAAAGACCCCTCCTCCTGTGTCTTGGCTCTAGAGAACCCCATCCCTTCACTGGGCCTTAGCACCATCATCCCAGAGACCCCACCCCTCTCTTAACACCCCACTTTATCATCACAGGTATTCTTCCCCACCCCAGTATCCCAGCTACTGCCCTAGAGACCACTTTATATTTTCAGGGCCCCATTTTGTGGCTGTGAACAACAAGAATGAGATTGTAGTGACGGATTTCCATAACCATTCAGTAAAGGTCAGTGTCTTCCCTTGCCTCCCCCTTCCCCTGATCATTCATTGGCACTGTAAACATTTATGGCGTGGCTACTTTGACCCAGGCACTATGTCAGAAGTGATAGGGATACAGTCATGACTCAAGCAAATACTTTCCCTGTCTTCTTAGTTATAGTCTAGTAGAGAAGAGAAGAGTTAACTGGCATGTTACAATTTGATGAGATACGTTCAGTGATAAGGAAGTGTAGGGAAATGTGAGGGCATAGCAGGAGCATTTGGCTCAGGTGAGAGAGAATTACCTAAAGCACCAGTGGGAATTAACCAGAAGGAAGAGAAGGAGAAGAGGATTTGAGGCAAAGGGGACCAGAGGAGCCGAGAACTGGAGGTGGGAACCCTATGGTGTGTCCAAGAAACCACAAGTAGTTCAGACTGGGTTTGCAGAGATAAGTCTTGTGTGGCCTTTAAGGAGCTTGATCTCTTCCTACGAGTTCTGGGGAGTCACTGAAGGATTGCAGACAGGTGGGGTGATACAATCCCGTGTGTCTTAGATCACTATGGCTGGGGCAAGACTAGAGGCTGGACGATCTATCTTTGCAATAATCCAGATAAGGACCACTGCTGTGGCAATATATGTATATAGGATACAGACTTGGGGTAGAATCAATGATTGTGTCAATCCACTGGCTGTTGAGCAGAGGAGACGATGCAGTCGACCATGACTCATGGCCAAATGGGTGTTGCCAGTCACTGAAAGAGAAGTCAGAACTGCTTGCCTGGGGAAATGAACTATTAGATTTGATATGTCTGAGGGACATCAGCTGGAGATGTCCAGTAGCAGTGGGGTGCATGGATGGGAAGCCTGGAAAGAACTGAGCTGTAGCTGCAGACCTGAGGGTCCTCAGCCCTAGGGCTCCCCCCCACCTCCTCCAAGGCCCTGCCCTCTGTCTGAGGCCAGGTCCCCAGTCCCCAGCCTTTGCCCTGCCAGGTATACAGTGCCGACGGAGAGTTCCTCTTCAAGTTCGGCTCCCATGGTGAGGGCAACGGGCAGTTCAACGCTCCCACGGGAGTAGCTGTGGACTCCAATGGGAACATCATCGTGGCTGACTGGGGCAACAGCCGCATCCAGGTGAGTAAGGCCCAGGGACCGCATGAAGGTGAGGTGTCCTGCTGTTCCCCATGCACACATCCCCTCCCCCCAGTAAGCATCTCACCAGCCCGATCTCAGCTCTCCTCATTCTCCACTCATCCCCAGGTATTCGACAGCTCTGGCTCCTTCCTGTCCTACATCAACACAGCTGCAGAGCCACTGTATGGCCCACAGGGCCTGGCCTTGACCTCGGACGGCCACGTGGTGGTGGCCGATGCCGGCAACCACTGCTTCAAGGCCTATCGCTACCTCCAGTAGCTGCACAGGGGCCCTGCCTGGCTCATGGAGGGACGGACATAGGGGTGATTGTTCAGGAGTGTCTGGCCCACAGCTGGGCCAGACCTGGCAGCACTGAATGTGGGCTGTGGGCGTGGGTGCGCCCAGTGCCCTCCCTCTCCCCTTCTCCCACCCCCACGGTTGCACTTTATTTATTCGGTTCTTGCTTTGGTGACTGGATGGGCCTGGACTGTGGTTCTAAGGACGTGTGCAGAGCTTCACCCTCCCCCCTTTACACACCTCCCCCGTCCCCTCAGTCTGCTCCCAACCCCAGCCTGGGGCCAGAACAGCCTCTTACTCCAGGGCAGAAGTCCCTCTGGTTGTCTCCCTACCACCCATACACACTGACAGAGACAGCAATACCCCACCCCCATATTAAATAAATGTGTTCGCCACGTGCTTTTGTTGCTTTCTTGTGGAGTGGGGCTGTGAGGGGATGGGATGGTGGGACTGGCTCTGGACTAAAAAGTAGGCAAGCAGGCAGGCATGACACCCAGATTCCTAAGTGGGTCCTGATGTTTTGAAGCTTCAGGAGGGGAGAGCAAGGAAGGGCGAACCCCTGGATCCTGAGCCACTTGCTAAATCCCCACCCCAGGCCCTGCATCTTCTGCAGAAATAGTAAGTCCTGTGTCTCCCTGCCCTGGTGCTGAGAGGAGCCTGGGAAAATGGTCCTTGCCCTGACCACAGCCAGCGCCTGCAGGAAGAACAGTCAGGTACGACAGCAATCCTGATGCCCAGGCCTGGGTTGGAGACCTGGGGCTGGCCCAGGTGGAAGCTGGGTGTGGGAGGCTCCATGGCCAATTTTAGAGTTTGGTCCGGAAGCCCCGAAGCCCTGTTCCATCCTCCTGCTCTCCATCCCAAGATTGCTGCTTTTCCCCACATTGGAACGAGGGTTCTAGCACCGACTCCTGAGCTCTAGTCTGTCAGGGTTTGGCTGCCAATTCCAGAGCTAATTACAACCAGCACTCTGATTTGGGAGGTGGGGACTATGATTCTCTCTCTACAAAAGGCTGAGGCTCAGAGAAACAGGGCATATTGCTAATGAAGAGCAGAGCCCAGACCTGAACCTGTAGCTGTTGTGCTCCTAACTGTAAGTTGCAGCACTTACTCATTCTTCTGCCCCCCGCACCCAGCCTGGTGACTGGCAGAGAAGGCCCTGTGGAGCTTATAGTTTACTGGTGAAGACAGGCAACCAAGTAAACACATGGAACTAAATGTGCAGTGACAGTTGGGTTAAAGCCGGGAAGGAATAGGATGCAATAAATAATGTAAAGAATATGGTGTTAAGGAGGGTGGGCAAGGAGGGCCTCCTGGAGCAGTGACCTGCAGGTTGGGAGAGACAGGGCGGGGAGGGAGCCAGCTGTGATAAGAGCTAGAGCTCCCTTTCCAATGGCGGAGTCTGGAGAAGATGCTCAGAAATGGCACCTCGCAGGGGGAAGGAAAGGAGGAAGAACAGGTCTTAGGTGGCTGAAGGAGAATGCATTTGGTGTCTGTCACATCTTTACGTGCTTCCATGACACTTTTGTCCATGTCACCGATCTTTCTGGCAAGGAAACCATCTGCCATGTGACTGGTGGGACGAAGGTAAAGGCTGACCGAGATGAGTCCTCTCAATATGGCACCCTGTTGGCTACCTAGAGTGTGGCCCAGAGGCTCAAGGAGCTGGGCATCACTGCCCTCCACATCCAATTCCAGGCCACAGGAGGAAATAGGACCAGGATCCCCTGGACCAGGGGCCCAATCAGCTCTCAGAGCCCTTGCCCACTAGGGACGAAGATGGCAGATTGAAGATGTCACTCATCCCTCCAATGGCACCCACAGGAAGGCAGGTCACCTAGGTCACTGAACAGGACTGTTCAACTTATTGGTTTCTCTTAATAAATTGCCTTTGTATGAGCTAAAAACAAAAAAGAGAGATTTCCAGACAAAGGAAGAACAGGTACGAAGGTCCCGAGGGATCAAGATCTGGGTGTTGAAAGACCCGAAAGGAGGCCAGGGTGATTGGAGAGGAAAGTGAGTGGAATAAGAAAAGCAACCCGTTTGGAGTCAGGCCTGAGTTGGATCATTTAACTCAGGTAGAGTTTGGATTGATTTGGAGTATAACAGGAAACCGTGGAAAAGTTTAAGTGATAAGGATGAAAGGATGCCTAATGGGATAAACTGGCAGCTAGACAGTGACTCTGTGGGGTGGGGAAAAAAGGATGAAAAGCAAGAAAATTGTACATCTCTAAACTCCTTTTGAAGACCATGGATAACTTAAAACCACCTATGGAATTCCAGTTCTAGGAATATTTTCCAAGAAAAGAATTGGTCAAAGGCACAAAAAAGTGCATGCACCCATGTTTATTACAGCTTTACTTAAAATAGAAAAATACCACCCCCTCCCCAAATCTAAATGTCCATCTGCAAGAAATGGTTATACTAGTATAAAGTTTTGCTTAAACATATAATGGAATTGTATGTACCCTTTAAAAATGCTGATATCTGACATACACTATTAAGACAATGAAGTTTTATAAAATCATATCTTCATTTTATTTATTTAATATATTTTATTGATTTTTTACAGAGAGGAAGGGAGAGGGATAGAGAGTTAGAAACATCGATGAGAGAGAAACATTGATCAGTTGCCTTCTGCACACCCCCTACTGGGGATGTGCCCGCAACCAAGGTACATGCCCTTGGCCGGAATCGAACCTGGGACCCTGCAGTCCGCAGGCTGATGCTCTATCTACTGAGCCAAACTGGTTAGGCCTCACATCTTCATTTTAAAAAGGATGTTGTAAGAATAGAAAAAGGCTGGGATAGATAAAATGTGAATAATGGTATCCTCTGGTTAGTAGAATTTAAAATGACTTTTATCTTCAAGAAAGAAGTCTTTTAAGTAGGAGTATAAGGTGGTTTCAGATATGCTTTTGAAGATGACCATGGTTGCTACAAAGAATGAATTGTAGAGGGGAAGGCGAAGCAGAGAGACAGGCCTATTTCCATAGTTAGACGAGAAATGATGGTGTTTGCGCTATGAGGGAGGCAGAGAGAGGTGGACAGATTTTAGGTCTAATTAGGAAGTAGGAACAACAAGATTCAATATCGAACACATACAGTGTTTCAGGCATTGTGCTAGGTACTAAGAATATAGACGTGAATAAATCAGATAAAATCCTGTCCTGTTCATTAAGGCAGTGTGGTGGACAGTGGGGTGCTGAAGCTGGTTTGTACTGGCTTACAAGAGCTCGTCACATTTTCAGGAATTTTGACAGCTGGTTGTTGAAAACCAGCCATTATTAAAAATTGAGTTATGTAAACTTAAAATTAAATACATTTTGTTAAAGTCAAAGATAATAGCCCTGGGTCTCGTGGCCCAGTGGTTAGTGTGTCAGTCTGCACACCAAAGGGTCGTGGGTTCGATTCCTGGTGAAGGGCACATACCTGAGTTGCAGGTTCATCCCTGGCTTCACACAGGACACATGAAGAAGGCAACCAATCAATGTGTCTCTCTCACATTTGATGTTCTCTCCCCCCCCCCCCCCCGCCCTTCCTCCCTCCCTCCCTTCCACTCTCTCTAAAAATCAATCGGAAAATATCCTCAGGTGGGGATTAACAACAACAACAACAAAAGTAAAAGATAATAAATACTCAAAACTCATCACTTCCTAATTATTTTGCTGTACTTTACTCTGACCTGTGCTCTTGAGCTTGTTTACATCTGTCGGGTCTGCCTGGTGGAAATACTATATTGGAAGTAACATGTTACTGTGCTACTTTTTCTTCCAACTGCACATTTGGATGCCTTGTTGGCAGCCTGAAGATGGCTGTGATATTTACATCACAGAAATTAACAAATGCTACAGACCAGCCTTTGATCCTTCTGGAGAGCTGGCCCTGAGACATGTACCAGCGCACGCCTTGACAGGGCGGAGCGCACTCCCAGGAGTCAGGCAGCAGAGCTTCATCGTGGCTCTACCACTTGATAGCAGTGGGACTTGGCTAACATGCCTAATGGCAGTGTCTGTCCTCATTTGTAAAATGGGACTAATATTATCGTGTGTGTATATATATGTGTGTGTGATTTAATGAGATAAATCCTGTTAAGTGCTTAGCACAGTGCCAGGCACATACATGTGCCCATAGATATGAGCAAATCCTATATAATAAAAGTTTAATATGCAAATTGACCGACTAGCCGAATGACTGGTTGCTATGACATGTGCTGACCACCAGGGGGCAGACGCTCAATGCAGGAGCTGCCCCCAGCCTTCAGGCCCCGAAAGCCTGCCAGCCAACCTCTTGGTCCCTTCCCCCAGCCGGCAGGCTCTGATCGCCCAATGGGGAACAGGGAACATCAGGTGGCAGATGTGGGCGGTGCCAGGCCAAGGCCCCTGCCTTGCTGGTTGTCCCACACACAGAGGGTGACCAGCGGCAGAGGGTGGGGCTGGTGAGCGGGCAGAATGGCCAACCTCTTGGTCTCTCCCCCCCAGCCTGCAGGCTCCTATTGCATGATGGCAAATGGGGAACTAGGGGTGGGTGGCATTGGGGGGTGGGGCCAGCTGCTGGCAGCTGGGGAAGATGGCCCTCATTATAGGCCAAGCCTAGGGACCCTACCCATGTACGAATTTCGTGCGCTGGGCCTCTATATATAAAAGGCTAATATGCTAATTGTCCGACCATCCGACTGGTCGATATGATGCACACTGACCACCAGGGGGCAGACGCTCAATGCAGGAGCTTCTGAGCTGCAGTGACTTGGCAGAGGTGGTTCTCAGGTGACACATCCCAAAACCAGAGAGGAGGGAGCTAGATTCATCATGGAGCCAAGTGATTCCACCTTGGGCCGTGGGTTATGTTGTTGCTGGGGCACTGTTGGCCCTGAATCTGGTTTATTGCGCACTCGCATTTGTGTTCCACACCCTGTATGACAGCAACTTTGCAGAGTGCCCTCTCGCACTCCAGGACGCCTTGGGATGTCAGTGAGTGGGTTTCGGCCTGATCCCTGCAGGCCAGGCTGAGGGACCTCACCTGCTGGAGGGACCCCGCTCACTCCACAGACGCCAGGGAGGGACTGAGGGAGGTTGGCTCCAGGGCGTGTCCAGCCTGTGTCACCCAGTCCCGCCCCACTGGCCACCTTCTAATGAATTTCCTTTCAATGTGCACGAATCCGTGCACCAGGTTACTAGTTATTATTATAATGATTTACTCATAGAGAAGCAAGAATGGATGATGTAGGAAAGCCCATTATAGTCAGAGCTAGTAAAACTGCACATGTTGGAGGACTCATTTGGGAGCAGTGGGCTCTTTTTGGTGCCTGGAACTTTACCCCTAAGCTCTCTCAGTTTGGGGAAAGGACAGGTCCAGTCTCTAGTCTCTGCTTCCTGAAGCACACAGCCGGGCAGCAGGCCCAG